AAGGCCATTTGGGTGACAGCAGTCCAGGGCCACCCCGCAATTCTCCCTGGGGTGAACGTGGCCTCCAGGGCACATCTGGCTGTCTCTGTTTGCTGTGTGCACACCAAGCTCTGTGTAGCCATAGGATGATGCTAGATCTCCCCACAGCAGGCTAGGTGGTGGCAGGCAGTGAGCCCTACAGCATGTGTCCCAGAGGGACTGGCTCTCGACAAAGGGGGAGCTCAAAAGCACAGATACATCATAGCTATCATTTGGGATGCTGAGGGTACCACAGCTATTCAGTTCCCAGCTGGAAACCACCAGACGCTAGTTATTACCACAGAGTGTAAATTGGGTCCTGTTAAAATGCAATTTCCTAAGCTTTCCAGGACTTGTTTCTCTGCAAGTGCCTCGTGTCTGCCTTCCCAGTGCTTTCCCAGGCTGAGCGGGGTGAACAGTTAACAGCAGGGCACAGGGCAACACCAAAGGAGGCCACACGTGGCTGCCTACCCAAGGCTCTGCTGCCCTAGGCCTGGAACTGCATGGCGGGAGGAACCCACACTGGATCAGCCTGGAAAAGACAAGGCCCCCCGGTCAGTGTGCTGGGAAAAGGGAGAGGCACCAAGGCTGCTCTCCGCTAAGGCCAGGAGCGCCAGAGAGGGGCTGCTTTGCAGCGGGCAGCGCGAAGGACCATGTATTCATTGCCGCAGATAAACCCCCTGCCTCCGCACTGCTGACAGCCTGGGGGGCAGTGGGGTTTGCTGCTCATGCAATTGCAATTTGCAATTGCTCATGCTGGAGATGGTGACAGGCAGCGACGATGCACGGGACACTTCTCCCCACGGCGGCAGTTCCTTCTCCCCAGCAAGCCCTCCCCTCACTGAGGGGTGAGGAACATACCCCCAGACAGGGCTGTTTTGCAGACGCAGTGTGTGGGGCAGGGCCGGGGGCTGGCTCCCAGCTCCCGCTCCACATCTGGCGCTAAGGCGTTTTTGTGTCATGCTGGAGTAGGGCTCCCACAGGACTTGTATACCAAGAAATTAAATTTCAGTACTTTGAATAGCTGCAGGGAGTAAAACACAATTTGTTATGATTACTGCACACACATATAGCCATTAATTATTTTTGCAAGACCCTTCTGAAATTTACCACCTTAAACACTGGCTAAAAAGCTCAGATTTTCCCCGATTGCTGACAGAAGAGACCTAATCCCCAGAAGACGAGCTCCAGGCCATTTCCCCACAGCTGACATTGGGAAGCACGCACGGGCTTGTGCAGAGGCACATTGCACACCCCCCYGATCCAACAGTTCAGAGTTTGGGAGGTTTTCAACCATTTGCAATTTCAACCACTAAGCAATGCATGGGAGTTTTTCATCCAGATGAAATATCTTTTTACTCCTGTTCGCCTGGGACAAGTGACACTCGGGCATTCTAGATTACTTAACTTCACACCAAATGAAACATGTTAGCTCTGTGGCTTTCCAGGAGCTGATCTACATGGAGGAATAATGACAATTACTGTTACCAGCCAGGAGATGCTTTATAGAGCAAGGCGTGGGAATGTTCTTATTTTTAGAATTCTTGGAATCAGCGCCTGCTGGTGAGCTGCTACTGGGACTCTCACTGAACTGTGGAGAACTATAATAAAAAAGTATTCTTTCAAAATTCAATGAACAACTGCAAAAAGAGGTTACAAATGAAAGTTTCTTTGTAAGCCCCACTTGTAACCACACAGTAGCGTTCACTACTTCTAATATCTACAGCTTGTGCCCAGGAGCCTGTGCACACATATATTTTCTGTTTTATATCCTGAAAAAGAAAGAAATTGAGTATATATTGGCTTACACCCACACGGCATTCTTCCTAATGTATTTCTACAACTACCAAGCAGAGGTCTCCTTGTAAATAAAAGCAGTCTCTTAAATTTATATTGCACTTTTCTTCTGCAGGGACTTTCATACTATGTACAGGAATAATCTCTACCATCATGGAGATGCAGCCGCTTCTGGAGTGGAACAGCAACTACTCAATAGGCACGGGGCAACATAAAACACCAGGAAGGGAAATGCACTGCACCCAGTTGGGACTGCAACAGATATTTAGGAAGACAATCTGTAATTACATCTAAGGACTGTAATTTAGTCAGAACACTGTGAAAACAGAGAGGGGGTCTTTAATTGCAAGGGGTAAGGAGCATGGCTTTATATCTCACCTGGGATGCATTACACCCTCAAGGAGAACTGCCCCTCAAGCATGGGGCTGGGCTAGTAACTACTAACATTACCTCTCTCCGAGAGGAGGGACACCACAAGCCTCCTTCCTCCCAAAGCTCCTGGCTCTTGCTAGTGCCTCCTTCCTCCGCTACGCTCTCTCTGAGCACATCTGCCAGAGAAATCAGTTCCTGCCCTTCTGTCTCAGCACTTGTGACGCGCAGATCCCCTCGGCCTCACCACTTTCCCCAGCACACACCATCAGCTGCTCTTGAGCCAGCGCTAACAGAGCAGCGCTCCAAGTGAGGCCATCCTTGAGGTTTAAACCCAGGCCAGGGAGCAGCTCACGAGCCCCATGGCAGCAGGAGGCTCCTCCCGGTCCGGAGCTATCGGCTGGCTCTGCTTCGGGAGTCCCACACTGGGCAGGCTGCCGGGCTGTGCCCTCATAGCATAAAAGGTGGCATGGTCACCTGGGCTAACTCTTACAGGCAGGAACACGCTCCCTTCTCCACCTTCTGTTCAAGGAAAGCTCCCCCAGGGTCAGCAAAATACCATGTATGTTTTGCAGCTGACAGATCAGGAGGCACCGTGAAGCAGCCGCAGGCCCCTGGAAAGGACGGTCTCTCTGAAAGCAGACTCWATCAGGAGGAGGAAGACTCCTTGCCTCCACCGAGCCCCAAGGAAAGGAAAAGCATCCACCTAAAAGAGCTCAGCTGAAAGAGTGGCAGGGGTCCTGACTGCCCATGAAAAGAGTAAGGGAGAGCAAGAAGCACTTGAGGTGACCACCACATCCCACGGCATTGCCCGGTCACGAGAGACAGCCTCAGGTCTCACGCTCAAATATTCTGCGTGATTGAGGTCTGAGCTCTGCAGAGAGGAATGGAGACGGAGAAAATGGACAGGGCACAGTCTTCACTCTTGGAAGTGGCAAAAATCAACAAAACAACAGGAGCAAGAGAGACCCTTATTATCCCCTTTCATGTCTTGCAAGACATCGCATGAAGGAGCTCCCCTTGTCCCTTGGAGCTGGTATGCTTTTTCTCTCTGATATTGGCCTGGGAGTCTTAGTGCAGTTGAATTCCATTCCAGCAGCTGGAGAGAACTGGGTTTCAGGACTTTAAACTGGATCTCTTGGGAGTAAATGAAAGCTTTCCCCCTCCATCAGTGGAGGAAAGGAGGCATTAACTATTCCAGGAGGCCGAGCAACAGAAGAGACAGTTAATACATTCAGGTGATTTTAGTCAAATGTCCCAGTATATTCATCAGAAGTGGGGAAGGAACCATGGATACTGGGGGCTTCTTTAGGGACCTTGTACCTCTGCAATGCCCCTGCTGCTGAGTCACATGGGCTGTCTCTTACAAGGAAAAGTCCTGCTTAACTGAACTTCCCAGACATGGGCTAGTAAACCCCAATCCATACCAACTCTGCCCCGTGCAGGGAGGCAAGATACACCTGGAGCAGCTTCCTGTTGCAACTAGGCTGCTATGGCTCAGACTTAGCCAGTGGAGGTTCATCTGGAGCAGCGAGTGCCTCCACAATGCCTTCCTCCTAGACCAAGCCAAAGAATGGAGTGGAAAAACCTGGCTGCAACAGGTTAGGAGCAGAGACACATCAGATTTACCCTTTCATTACGCCAGGAGGAAAAAGATGAAATTCCAATCACTGTGTCTGTTCTCCTTTCTTTTACTGACAAAACAAATCCACAGTTCAAAGTACATCTCGCTTTTGGGTCAAGCTTCCTGCCTTTATCCTTGGGCATTTCTACACATGCTTCACCTTTCAGCTCCTCTGCCCACTACTTCAATGATGAAAGTCGAGTAGCTGCAAGACTGTCCATGCTGGCAAAATTCAGCAACCTCTCCCCTGAGCAAAAACGATGTCGTCACATTTCATCCTCATCCCGCTAATGGGCTTCACGTGCTAAAAAGGCCTCAGGATGTGAGATGGCAATTTCAGAGCTGTCTGGACTGGCAGAGGCTGGGCTGTGGGCAGAAGACCTGCTGTTTGCAGTGGAGAAGGCTGAAATGTGTAACTTGAAGTGGGAGAAGTTGAGCAATTGAATTTAAAAATATATATAAATAAATAAACAGTTAATGAAGGAGAGGCTGAGAAGTGATCGGAGGCTCAGGGCTGAGGGAATCCCAACATTCACAGAGCGAAGCCGATGTGCAATGGCTCCCCCTGCTTCCTGGCCCACCCCAATCCACCCCATCCCACCCCATCGCACTGCACCACTCAGCCCCACAGAGAGACCTTCCTGCTTGCAGCTCAGCTCTGCTTCCACAGGCTCTCAGCCCAGCAGGAGATGCTGAGAGAGAAGGAGACTTTCAGAAGCCAGTGCTGCTGCTGGGTTCAGTTGGGACTTCTCCACCTCTCAGCATGGTCCATGCAACAGGTGCATTCCTCATCAGTCTTCTTTGGGCTAGAGGGTGGGAAGCACAGAGAGGTGGAGAAGTGAAGGCAGCACTGGCCGGAGGAGATCACCCACGGGGCGGCTAAGCACGCGGGAGGCAGGAAGATGTGACCGTGCAGGAGCGCGCGGGGCACGAGGTGGGCGCTCTGGCCGGCAGCGCGCGGGATGCGAGGCAGGACGCTCCAACGGGAGCGCCGCAGCGAACGTCCGCCCTGCGCAGGGCTCTGCAGCAAGGAGCGCCACTGTTCCGGTAGAAATTTGTGCTTTAATATATTTCTGTTTGTTTGTTTAAAACAAGTCCCCACTTCCCTGAGGAAGCCCTGTCCAACGTTCCCAAGGAAATATGGGGGTGTTTATTCCTCCTTCATTTGCTCTTTACATTTCTTCACTCCTACTTTTGTCTTTCATTCCTTCTTTTCTGTGTGTCTCCTTCCTTCCTTCTGCTCTTTCTTTCTGTCTCTCTCACACACACATGCTTTTTTGTTTTCGTCTTTATTTTTTAATTTTGTTTTAGACATTATTACTTTCTCAAGGAGTCCTCCAGCTCTGAACCAGATCCCTTTCCATGATCATGCCTATCCGTCTTTGGTAACATATGGACACTTTGGTGTGCCAGTGAGGAGGGGAGGAAGAGGAGCAGAGGTGGCTGAATAGGAAAGGAGCAGGAATGTCTTGGTCCAAAGACAGGAGCGCTTGCTTGCCATCATCTGAGCAGCACATAAAGGAAGAAAGTCAATGGGCCACAAAGACAAGGGCTGTGCAGGACTGGGACTCCACTTCCTGGAAGAGCAACCGCTACCAGCCAAAAAGAGAGGGAAAGAGAGGCAGTTACTGAAGGGATAGATCCAGATGTATCAAACAAGTCAATACACATTAGCATCAACTCCTCCCTTCCCACTCCAAACCATGAAACACATTCCAGATCTAACGGAATATCTTTCTGCCATTACTTGGACTTTCTCAAGGCTTTCCCAAACTATTTCTTTTCCAATTCAGGAATAAAAAAGACATAGTTACTTCTGCAAACCAAACCTCTCTTCTTCCTCAGAAGACTGAACTTGAATAAAAATAAAAAATCTGTTGGTATTTTGGCTAGAGTTTGACCAATCTTGGCTAAGAGATACCTTAAAGTTTACTTGGAACTTTAAAAAATTTAGGAAATTTTGACTATTTTGAGGTTTTGTWCCCATTCCTTGGAGGGAAATGGGAAGAAACTCAGCTCTCTGACTCTAGACACCAAGACACAGATTTTCGTTGTTGGAGAAGGATGGACAATGCAGTCAGTCCTTCAGAACCTTAACCTAACTGTTGTCAGTCCTTAATGGAGAAGACCTTAAAGCCTGAAGATCTCTCTCCTTCCATAGCTCTTGTGTCTAGGGTTTCTGGGAAGCAAGATACTACAGAAGCCTTTGACTACCTGTGATGTACATCAGGGATGAGACCTCAGTCCCAAGATATTAATGTAGACTTCAGCAAGGTGACATCTGGCAGCATGGTCCCTAAAGGATCTGGTTATTCCTCTGAACATTTGCTAACTTATAACTACAAAGCACAACTTTAAGGGCCTGGAAGCCCTTCTGCTGACTGAGACGGTCTCAGACCATCTTGCAGGGTCCCTTCCATTCATGAACTTGGTTCAAAATCAGCTCAACATCCATGGCACATGCATTTGTCCGTGCACTCACGCTGACTCTCCTCTCTTTGAGGCAAGCACACTCTCACCCTTATTGGGGCCAAAGGGCTTCCTCGGACAGTCCCCTTTTTTCAGAGTGACGTCATCGATGGCAATGTCCCCCTCATAGCTTGTGCCACGGACACCTTCAAAGATGATCTGCAAGCAGAGCAACAGAGTATGGAGTGAGGTTGAGGCTGCAGAGGAACCTCTCTGTTTGGAAGAACATCCTTACTGCGAGGCCCTGCAGGGATGGGTAGAGGACAGACCAGCTGTCATCAGGTCCCATTAGCCCTCTTTCTTGAAGCCTTAACCATTTCTCAGGAGGGTTCCAGCACTAGTAGCTGATTTTTATGGTAGTTCTTTTCCCAGCCTCCCTCTTTTCTCACAGGGGCAATGCCTCCTCTCACAGACTCCAAAACTCTTTCTTGAAAGAAAGTGAATGCTGCTCATGGCAGTCCCACTATGGTGTTCCCCCACCAAAAAATATTCCTCATTGCTTCAAAGGCTCCTTCTACCCATTGCTTCCCATCAGGAAGCCAAGGAACTTGGTGTAAGCTGGGAAACAACTTAGGTCTTCAGCCTGTGGGTTGAATGGAAGCAGGGGGCGGAGGCAGAGTCTTAACCTCTTCCTAAGATACTCACAAGGCTTCAATATTGAGGTGGCTATCATCAGACTTATTTCCTGCAGTCGCCCTATTCCTAGGCTGATTGCTGGGTCAACTCCCGGCCTCCCAAGTTGTTGTTCAACAACCAAGTAACATGTTGGGCACCAATATCAGCAACAAACCCCCCAGTAACAAAGCAGCAGACTTCCCTGGTAGTCATAAATTACTGTATGAGCAGCAGATGAAGGCTGCCCAATTCATACTCACAGGTGGTCCTACAGCTGTAACCCAGAGAGGTGGTGAGGGTGGGCTGATACAGCACACACTGTAGCATACACCTGCAGCACTCAGAGTCACCTAATGCCAAAAGGCTGGCATGACAGGGCTAACATCCTTTCCCTGAGCTGCTCAGGAGGAAGAGACCTGCTGCACAGACCTGATGCTTAGAACAAGCTCTGCAGCAAGCATTTTCCAGATCAACAAGAATAAGAACATTTATAGTAATAAACCACCACTTGAGCACAAAAGAGTTGGATGGTTTCACAAACAACTGGATTTCATTTTCATGCTTCCAGTAAGTACTTGGTGGTGAATTTTCCAGGAAATCACTCTCTGGTGACTGGGAAGGAGAGCTCCTACATGCCTTCCCTGTGCCTGATCAACCCCTGTGCTACAGATGCAGACCTGTACTGGGAAAACTCTTTCAGGCTGTGGCTCATGTACAGAGCAGGTRACAGAGGACTCCTTGACTGTGAACCTCACTTACCTGGAAGGGCCCTGGAGGGTTGATGGGAACATGTGCTTGTTGCCACATATTCCCCCTGTTCCCACTGAGTGACCAGACCTGCGTGTCGATGGTCCTCTTGTTCCGCACGCGAACCAGGAGATTTAGGGAGCCTGTAAAAGAGAAAAACTGGGCACTGGCATCATAAGGCAGGCAGGTGCACCCATGGCTCTGGGGTCCAGGTTCCAGCCACCAACATCATATTCACATGCCCCAGTGAGACCAAGGGCAGCCTGCAGGGCCCCTGGGCTACAGTATCCTTTGGAAGGAGCCAGCTTTCTCCTGGGTTGACTCAAATGTGGCTTTTGCAATGTTTCATCCATCTGGGCTATCCAAGTGAGGATACAGACCTAGATGAAGACAGAGCAGATGGGATGATGAAGAAGCAGTCTGGAGTATAGTTGGTGTGGTCCAGTGCAAGAAGCAGATGACAAAATGCTGCCTGGAGTTACCTCTGATGATCAGAACTTTAGATCAGAGTAGAATGGCTTTGCCAGGCTGTCCTGAAATCCTCTCAGGACATCAGCTTCCTTTTTGCCAGAGTACGCCCAGCTCCCTCAACCTCTCTTCCCCAGGATTTCACCTAGGCATTAGGTACCATCCTGATAACCCTCCACTGGAGCCTCACCAGATTCCTCGCCCCCAGTTCACCTCAAGCACATGATGTATATAATCTGTAGCCTAATTCCTTTGTTCCATCCCTGGCGCTGGTCATTAGCTGCAGAAACATGACTGTGTCCTCAGTAGCAACTTGCCCTGGATGCAGACCTTGGAGAGACCAACACTTTGTTCCACACTGCCTTTCCCTCCTGGTCCAAACGTTTTCACAGTGACACAACCATTCTGTGAATTAGCACTGTGTTCAAGTTTTTTCAACTAAAACAATTCCAAAAAGGCTTTGAATGCCATTAGGAAAAAAAAAAAAAAAAAAAAAAAAGGCCAACAAATCTCAAAGAATTTTCATTTTTCACTTTGAAAAAAGCGTCACACTCCCACTAACCTCAACCACAAATGAAACTACCTCAATTTGTCTTCAAATAGAACATCTTTTTAGCAACTGACTTTTCCTTCCGAAGTATTTTTTTTTTTTTTTTGCTACCATAACTCTAGTCACACTGCTCCTCATCACTGTTTATGGTCTCCAGACACAGAAGTGCTACAGAGAGCTGAGAGGCAATCGTAACCCTTACTTATATGCCCACAGCCAGACTGTGCTTTGGATACTGTCTTCCAGCCAGGGTCCTGCCCTTCTGAGAGCTGGCAGACATGGGAAGAGACTGAACAGTCCTTTCTTATGTAACTTCCTGTAAGATATCCCGAAAATTTTCCTTAAGGCACACTAGCCTTAAGGTCATCGTAGGAAAGATATGGACCTAGAAGTACTTCTGTTAAGTAGCTGTCTATCAGAAAAGAGAGAGATAAATCATCCAGAGTTCAGAGGTGTATAATAAAGATGATGAAATGTTTAGGACTTACAATAAAAGATTAAGGGAATGAAATATGATATAATTTAGTGAATTGAGGGAAAAAAGGGAAGGAGGGGTATGGTTATTTCCTGAAAACATTTCCAAAAGCATTAGCAATGAGGGAAGAAGTCAGGCTATCTCAAAAATTAGATGAAGGTCTGATTGAGGAGGGAGAGAACGAGACTGTGAGTCCAAAAGGGAAGAAGCGTTTCCCTGATTTGTCTGAACACCACCTGGGATGCACTCAGACTGGGGAAAGAGACAACAGAGTTTACTGCTTATTCCTATCAGCCAAATCTGAATAAGAGGAAAGGGGAAAATATCTTTCTGCTTGGAAACAGTTTTGTCAAATGTCCTTCCCCAGAGGTCCCTCCCCCATCTTCCGACCTTGGACGCACAACATAACCCAAGATGAGGAGCAAGACAGTTTGCTTTTCTCTCTTGAGGTTGGCAGCCACTGCTTGACTCCAGAGCTGTTAAAGCGAGAGGCTGAAAGTGAATGAAGAATTAACACGAAGCTGCCAGCAAGCAATGATTAAAAGAAATCATCTGCTATTCCAGCCTCATTCAGGGACCGCAGCTAGGACTATACAAGAGCCTGGCTGAACAGACAGCGCTATGACAAATCAGGCGGCAAATGAACTTTGGCGCCCTAGGAAAAAAGGGAAGGCAAAATTCAAAGGGACACAGAGAGGCATCTGGAATGCAAATCAGTCCCCTCTACGCACTGTTTGTGAGTGCCTGGCCTCAACCCAAAACAAGCCTGAGACTTCCTGGCTGACACCTCTGTGTCCTTACACCTTTTGGTCCCCAAACCCTCTAATGAAGCTATGCTGCATATGAACAGATGTTCTTCAGATGATTTCCAATTATCAGAAAAGTAGCCTCATCTCCCCGCAATGTGCAATGCCTCACCATTAGTGTCTACATATGGAAAACTGAAGGCCAGGACAGCTGTGAAATGTGCCCCTGACAGCCTTACAAATCAGTCAGAGCTGCAAAGGGAGGACAGACCTGCTGCTCACAGCCCAACCTGCAAATCCTGCTGGCTGACATGGCCTCCCCAAAGCTGGGTAAAACCCACAAATTCTCCCTTTACCAGGGATGCTCTGTCACCAAGAATGTGCTTCTTGGAGACTCCAAGTCCTGGAGCTAAACAGATCTTTGATATAACTGAACAAGGCTCGCGTAAGAGTTAAAGACTGTGCAGGCCTTCTAGTTTGTTCTCTTCTTCCATGTGTTAGTCTGTCACACTATGTCTGTCCAGCTCAAGAAAGTACCAAACACTGGGAGTGTTCTGAGACCTTAGAAAGGGGATGCTGGAGGGTAGGAGTGCCTCAACTCTTCTGCCTTTCCATTAGTGACAAACCAGAGAAAAAACAAAATTGCACATGCTCTCCAACTGTCATACCTTCCTCATGGAGATAAAAAAGATCCATCTGGGCTGTTCTTGGGTGACAGCTGCCATAGCCACTCCTTTAGGTTAGTTTTGTAGTGCAGTCATGCCTAGCTTCCTATATCAGAATCCACATCCAGATGACCATTTCTGTTATCTCCTATAGTCATTCTTCCCTTCCCCATCTCCTCCATCAGATATTTCTGGAGTCTCCTAAGATTACAGTAGTAGTGATGCACACAGAAAGACCGACTATCTATCTAGTGCTAAATCTCTGCAGCTGACCGGAGACAGAAGAACACAATGAAAATCCCAGGACAGCAGAAAGCCTGTTGGTATCTCTCCACAAACAAAGCAGTCTCAACATTTGCCTTGTAATCTCTGTCATTCTTTCTTCCCAATCAAAAGGGAGAATAAAAGTTGGTGTGAGTGATGAGGAATCAATGCAGCGAGCAGGAGCTATGCCTTCGGCTGCCTCCCTTTAAGACCAAAGCTGGCATTTCAGGAGAGCGGTGCTCACACAAAAGAGCACCAGTTGGGCTGCAAAATACAGTAACTCAAGGGATGCCTTTAAATGTTACTTTCTCACAGTGCAAAAAGGTCTTCCCTCAATTTCCATGGGATAGGGACTAGACTGTCATACTGCAAATCCACACTGAACCACAGAGTCGATTCAGAAGCGCTGGCACAGACAGTACCAGGAGGGAGGCACGGACTGTAAGGCCAGGACTTGAGCATGGTTCATGTGGGATGGCAGAGAAAGCAGAGGCTTCCATGGATTTTTTTGGCAGTGCAACTGGAATGGTGAATGCTGAGGTGAGGTATGTGAAGTTTGACACACTGCTCAATAAGTGAAGTGTGCATGGAGGGAGGGAAGAGCAGAGCAGCTAGGAAGTGAAGGGGGGCCTTAGGCTGGGCGATCTCATGAGATCAGCTATCCATGAAAAGCTTTCCCTGCAGCCACACTTCAGGCTTGGCATATGTCTGAAACCAGGCAGGGATATCACCCTGAAGCCTCCACGGAAATTCCTATGGTATTTCAACTGTACGCAACATAGAAAAAAAAAAAAAAAGAAAGAAAAGAGAAAGAAAGATCCAGGGCAGGAGATGTCCAGTGGATTGAAAAAGTCACAGAGTGTGAAGATAACTCAGACCTTATATAGCATGGGAGAGATGCTTGTAAATCAAATGTGAGGCCTAAAACCAGGCAAGGGCCCTTACCTTTCTAACAAGGACTTCGAGCATTTCCTCAAGTGTGGTTTATTGCCACTGATCATAGAGTAAAAATCCAGAGCTTAATACAGGCAAATCCCAAGAGCAAACTAAAGTTCCCAGAAGGAAGCTATTACTCTTTTTAATCCCCAGAACAAACACAGGACTCTCTCTCTCTGCTTTAAATGGGYGTTAATGAAAAGCAATCAGCATCAGATCAGTGTTTTCAGTTATAGTGCTGTGACAGAAAGTTAGTGTTCTGAGAGCTAGGAAAAAAAGAATGGAAAAAAGAATGATAGCATGAATAGAGATAATGCCTGTAGCCTTTTCTGTATCCATTTCCTTTGTGGTTTCAAAGCAAGAAGGTTCAGAGATCTCATACATACAGAGGAAACCAAGTCTCTGACAGGGTTTGAAAAGCTCAGCCACTGCAGGTCTACTTGTGAGACACCACCTTCAGATTTAGAGAGGCATTGAGCACGGTCAGGGCTGAGTCACAGGCCTGCTCGTTGTCTCTCGCAGTTTAATTACAGTGGGGGATCAACAGAATTTCTGCTTCCCATTCCCTGATGTAGTAAGGCCTTCCTGTGGACAAAAACATCAATGTGTTCACATTTAATTGGCAATGTTTCTCCTACAGCAAACCTGTAAAACTTACATCTGGCTACAGGGAATTTTCTTGGATTTTACTGCAAATTTTAAAAAATCAGAGAAACAAACAGATTTCCACTCTGACTCCTAAACCACTATCAAATGAGGATGGGATTGAAGCAATATTCCTTGATACGGCAAAGCCAACTGCACCAGTGGATCTGCGATCCATTACTATCCACCCTACTCAACGTGCATATGAACTCTGGGATAGAGGGAATGGACCAACAGAGAAGCCACAACACAGCACTGTTACAGGGCRAGGTGGGCATGTGGAGACAACCTGAGGGGGATATATTTGCAGGGGAGGGCACCTGGAGACTGCAGGTATTAATTCAGTTGTATGGCCATAAGTGTGTCTTGTGATGAAGAGCATGAGTGCTACTGG